TGTCCCCCCCCCTCGCCCTGCCCCCCGGGTCCCTGCGGCTTTTTCCCGATTCAGCCTCGTCCCGTCGAGAACTCGCGGAGAAAAAATCCCGGCATCCGAGGATGCGTCTCAGACCGACGGACGGATCGCCGGTTTCCTAGACGAAGCATTGTTGCCAGGTTGTACGATCAATTTTGTATATTTAATGTGGTTTTGAATGGAGAAAGTTTGATTTTCAGAAAAATCTGACAACGATGAGACGGACGAAAGTGTCTCCATTCCGAGTTTGCTAAATATCAGGGCTCCCATTTCCCGGAACTGGTACAAAATTTCGGAACTTTTCAGATTTTCCTGAATTTTTCCCGGTACTTTTGAAATTCCCAAAATGCTCAGATCTTTTGCATTTTCCGGTATTTTCGAAGAAATCTGAAAAGGATACTGGAACTTTTCACGGTCACGGAGTGGGACAAATGGGAATTAAGAAGTTCCGAATCCCGGAACGGTTGACGGGCATGGAATGGGAGCACTGCTGAATATTTATACTCGAATCGTCGTTTCTCGGACAAAAGAACGTAATTGCATTACAGCGTTTCTTAATTTCCACTCGCATATTGTATTTTTACCAGGAGACTATTGGAAATTTCTGACCGGGGGTTTTCCTGATTTTTCTTCTGATTACACGCGGACATCGGCGAAATTTAAGACAGGAATTCCACAGTTGTAATTGAGAAACAAATCGAATTGTGTGAGCCGGCTTTGCAACCATGCAATGAAATTGCGCTCCTCCGACAGGGAAATGGCAAAATGTGAAATAATGACTCACAGTAAGTGATGTTGTATGCAACGTAATAACCGCCCGAGAACTTGATACTTCTCTACAGTAAACCATAGAAAAATCCGTTAAGGTTTAAATTAGGAATTCCTGATTGTTCTCGAGTCACAGTACAGTTTGTGGGCAGAAATTTTGCAATGTTGCGGAAAATAGCCGAATCGGTCGATAATTCCCAGACAAGGGAATATATCATCCATCCAAGGTTGCAAAATGTATGTACACGATTCACTACTTCACGCTAAAATGGCAACGTAATCAAATTCGATAATTTTAGACGGTTATCTATGGACAAATCTTGAAATTATCCTTAAACACTGGAAAAAAAACACATTGGATCTAGAGTCCAGACTCTTGAAAACATTGACAAGAAAAAGGACTCTTGCTTCAATCAGATTTTAGCTTAAATCAAAAGGAAATCCGCTCAAATTAAGAGGCTTGGTTCTTGATTTAAGCTTAAATCTGATTGAATCAAGAGTATTCTTTCTTGTCGATATTTTTAAGAGTCTGGACTCTAGATCTAATGTGTTTTTTTTCCCAGTGAGATATGCCCTATGGTGAAACTACGCTGAAAGCACTCATCTGCAACGCGAGGTTTGAAAAGTTTCGCTCTTACACCAACTTTTTCGGAGGGTAAAAGTGCATTATTCCATCGCCTTCTGACAAGCATCTATTATCTATAGGATCATAGCTGCGAAGGAAAATTCTTCAGATCTGTAGGGAATAATGCGATGACAGCTTCGTTTCCACGAATGTAAATTGAGGAGTGACGTCAGATCACTCTCGGTTCTCTAATCGATATGGGTGAGAGGCGATGTACGCGTTTCTTGATATTACTCCAAGCACCGTGATTTAATCGAGTGAAAAACTTCTCTTTTTGGATTGAAATTTATTCTAAATTATTCAGAGTGAAAGAGGCCGACCTGACCTCCCCTTCCCTTCACGAGGGAACTTGTATCCGGATTGAGTGACACAGATTTTCTCCAACTTTTCTGTAACAGCAACCCATCTTCGCTTCGAGG